CCTTAGCCAATGTTTTTGCTCTTACCTGCTTCCAACAAAAGTAGATATGCCTATGCCATTCCTTGCTGTGGTCTTGGGGGGTCTGGGTTCCTCCCTCTGGCACTAGTGACTTGCACCAGCATATCATCTTGCTATCTTCATGTCTGCTAGAGATCTGTGGAAGAGGGAAGAGCAAGTAAGCAACTTAAAATGTCACAGCACTCTTTCCGCTACAGCAGCATCTTTCTTCATTATACTTTCCCCTGGTAGATGCTAGTTTGTGGCCAGTTCTAGAGTTCTACTAAAGGTGGTTCTGACTGTGTTTACTAATTATTTTTGAGGAGTGGAGAACCCTGTAGTTCTTGGATAAACATAATGTTGATTCTTGCATATTTCTCAAAACTTGTGCTTAAACTCATAGAAAAGAATCTTATTCAGGAATCAGTTGTAATATATCTTATTCTTATGCATAGCTGAGAAGCAAGATAGAAATTAGTAAATGGCAGGTGAGACACCTGACCTAGGGTCAAATAGCAGTTCAGCTGTGTTTATTTGGTAATTTTATATGTAGTCTCTTAAATCCAAGAGGCTGAAGTATATGCAGAAGTATTACTCATCATAGTAGATTGTTTTGTTGTTTTGAGACAGGGGCTCACTATGTACCCCACAGCTAGCCCAGAACTTGCAGTCTTCCCCCCAACCCCTTTCTGTGTGTGTGTGTGTGTGTGTGTGTGTGTGTGTGTCGCTCTCTCTGTCTGCATCTTTCTCTCATCTGTTTTATCCTCATTATTGGAACACACAATGCAGGGATATTGGTATACTTATTAAGTATTAGCCCCAGGGCAGAAGATAAACAATAAAATCCATCTGACCTGAAAACAATACTAGTCAAAAAGAGCTTCCTATCTCTTGAAACTTCATTTCATATTTATGTTTTCACATTTGTAGCATGTAATTTGGAGCACACCTGCTCTTGCATGATATGAAGTGTACAAGTTAGGACTGCAGGGAGAAAGCTGGTCACTTTTAGGAAACCACATTGACTTTCCAACCTGACAGTGCTTGATGGCATGACAACACACAGCAGTTTCGACCTCCTGACCTTCCAAACATCAGGTGTGCATAAAGTCCACATGGAGTGGACTTTGTTGGAACTGCTCAACCGTGCTCCACACAGGAATGTTCCAGCAGATCAGGAGAACAAAAGATTCCACTAGAACACTTCCTGACAAGTGTGCTGGAACACTGCAGTCAGAAGGCTCAAGAAGCACCTGAGGTTCCCTCACAATGAGAAATGCCAAGAACCTTCATTATCCTGGAGTTAGGAGACCTTGAGACCCGGGCAGGGAGACAGTTGTAAAAGGATTTCCCCAAACTAAACTTTTAAGTTATTTTGTTATTTCTAAGGAATCTTAAATTGCCTGTAACGGTCACAGTAAATACTCTGTTTTGTTCTATGCTCCCTCTTTCCCCCTTTCTGGAAAAGGGGAAGAAGATCCTCAAATCTAGAATCGATTATTCTAAAATGCACGCTTCATATGGCCATTCACAGATAACCTATAAAGTGGGAGAAGGTGTTATAAACTTTCTCTGACAAAGGGCCAATAGCTGGAATAAAGAATTCAGCCCAACATAGTGTCTTGTACATCTCATTGTTACAATGGGTCATCCTGTATCCTTATTTCAGCATTTTGTGATTTCCCTTCCCTGCCCCAAATTAGAAAAATGTATATACAAGATGCAGGACACGGGAATCAAATACAGTGACAACAGGGGTTGTACCATGGGGGAAGAACATACAAAGAAACAAAAAAAAAAAACATAATCACATGATACATTATAAGTACATTAAAAAGAATAGCAACAAAGATAAAACCTCTTGTGTCCCTATTTTGGAGTTCATTTCGTTTAGCATCAGGTTATATGGTCACATGTACATAACTTTTGACCTCTTCTGCTTGTCCTAGATATATACTAGTTATTGCAGATGAGGGAAACCATGGGAGTTTGAGTCTTTGGGCCTGGCTTACTTCACTTAATATAATTTTTTCCAAGTCTTTCCATTTCTTTCTGATGGAGGCATAGAATTCCATTGTGTGTGTGAGTGTGTGTGTGTGTGTATTTATATACCACATTTTCTGGATCCATTCATCTACTGAGGTGCATCTAGGTTGGTTCCATATTTTAGCTATGGTGAGTAATGCTGCGATAAATATAGCTGTGTGGTAGCCTTAGGAGTTTGGGAGGTGAGGAGGAAAGGGATGGTAGGGGAAAAACAAAGGAGTGTGTAACAATGCTCGATAGGAAATGTACTCATTACCTTGTTCAAGTAACTGTAATCCCTCTGTGCAGTTTCTTTACAATAAAAAATATATATTAAGAAATGAATTCATCGCAATAGTAAATACCTAAATAATCTGATTAAAATGGGCAAGTCTGTGTAGACATTGCTAAAAATAATTTTTACAAATGGCCAAGAAATATATGGAAAAATGCTCAGCAAGCACTTCTGGTGTGGAACAGAACAGTAGGGTTACAGGATTGTGCCAGAAGAAAAGATTTCCACAGTCTTTACCAGAAATATATGATCGATATTTGAAGGTAGACATTTAACATAATTTAAGCATTATCCGATGTATACATGTACTGAATTGGCACACTGTCACTAACAGGTACAATTTAAATGTTTTTATATTATTTAAATTAAATTTAAATATTTTTATATTACAGTAAATACATTTAATTTATAAAGAAAAACAAATGTAGGTCTCCCATAGCTTCTAAGTGCCACTCTTAACTGGTCAGGGGCTTCCCAGCCTCCTCAGATATCAGAATGCATCACTGTCTGGTAAATTCACAATCATTTCTTTCTTTTCTTTTTCTCTTTCTTTCTTTTTTTTTTTTAGCTATTATTGGGGCTGGACCTCAAGACCTCATGCTTTTGCTCTGTTTTCTTTGCTTGTGTTCTACCACTTGAATCAAAGCCTCTAGCCCAGCTTTTTGTTGGTTAACTGGGGATGGAATCTTTTGGACTTTTTTTCTCCTAGCTGGCTCTGAACTTTGATCCTCTGATCTCAGCTTCCTGAGTTGATAGGATTAGAGGTGTGTGAATTATCAGCATTCAGCTTCTGCTTCAATTTAGTCACCCCCCCCCCCCCACACTTCGTTGTGGGGCTTGAACTCAGGGCCTGGGAGCTGCCCCCAGAGTTTTTTTTTGCTCAAGGGTAGTGCATTGCTACTTCTGGTTTTTGAGGGGTTTGTTGGCGATAAGAGCCTCTGGGGACTTTTCTGCCCCGCGATCCTCAGGTCTCGCCTGAGTAGCTAGGATTATGTGCAGGACCCACAGGCGCCCAGCTTCAACTTAGTTTTAATAAATATATTAACATATATGGACTCTGAGATCAGAGTTAGTAAAAAAAAAATAGTCTCTGAATTGCCTTTATGAAGATGTGATTATTTTAGGTAGTATTTTGTGTTCCTGAACTGATTAGAGAGGGCTTTTCGTAGTGTTTCTGTGGCTTCCTAAAGAAATTAGAACCAACATCTTTGTTTTAGGCTCTTTCTATGGATGTGCATGAGTCCACACTGCTTGTCTGGGCTGTAACCTTAGTAGGTAATTAAGTATATAATTAAATATAATTAATCATGTACCCTCTTCAGTCCTAAAGCAACGTGTGTCCTTAAAAACAAGCAAACCCCACTAAATGCCCCGCCGTTGTCATTGCACCTCTGGAACTGGCTGCAGAAACCGCGCTGCAGTGTGGAGTCACTTGTGTTTGGATACACCGTCCGTGAGTGTGAAATCTAAGCAGACACTAGATGGAGCGCAGGTTTGAACTGCAACAGATTAAATACGAGTAATCAGAAATGTGCACCCCCCAACTTGCGGGAAACCTTAAGAACAAAGCCGATTCTTGAATGCCTGCCCTCCAAGCAGCCAAACTAAAGCGTGTTCTTCATCTTTTAGTGTTATTTTACAGTGCGCAGCGCTAGCAGCTTCATACTCCATGGTAGTCACGGGCGTGTGGTCGTGTCTTTCCTCCCCAAAGGCCTCAACCACTCGGAATCCCAGAGGGCTGGAAGCGGAGCTAGCGAGAGAGTCCACGCCGACCTACGGCCCCCGGGCGGCCCTCCTTCCGCAGACCTGGGGGGGCCGCGGCGCGGGGCGCGGGGTGTGCGGAGGAGGTCGGGGCGCCGCGCCAGGCCTCCGTGCCCTAGGGTGCACCGCATTAATGGGGGGCGAAGGCGTGACGCACCCCCCTTCGGTTCCAACGGTAGCCAGGAGAGCCTGGTCAAGCCTGTTGCTGACTTTTGGCCCAGGACCCCGAGAAGGAGAGGCTCGTCGAGCTCCCAACTCCCAGAACCGTCCTGGGCTGCGCGGGCGCGGGCGCGGGCGCGGGCGGGAGGGGCGGGCGCCAGGCAGTTCCTGCCGCCAGCTGGACGGTGTGCCCGGGTCCCCGCGGCCAGGACCGGCGTGAGGCGACCCCCGCCCGCGCCTACACCCCGGGTCGCTTCCTCGGCCCGGCTCGGCGGCGGAGGCGCTCTGGCCGGCGTCGCCGGGGCAGGCGGGCCGGCGGCCGCGCCGGGCTCCCCTCCCCGGTCGTTTCCGTGACGGCGGCAGCAGGCCGAGCGGCGCTCTGGGGTCGAGTCCCGGTTTAGAGTTCGCCCGGGGCAGGGAGGAGCGGGGAGGGGCTGGCGGGGGGCGGGGGGGGGGGGCCGGGAGGCTCCAAACCCCACAAACAGGAAGGAGGGAAGGCCCCGCCGCCGCGTGCCGGCAGAGGGAGGGTCATTCCCAGCAGCGGCCGGGCGGGGCGGGGGCCGCGGCTCGCCGCCGTCCCTCCGGGGCCGCGCGGGGGTCCCGCCGCCGCGGAGAGGGGGGTCCTCGGAGTAGCCCGCAGGGAGGGGGCGCCCCGGGAGACGGAGCGGGGAGGCGCCGGGGGCTCCGCGGGCCCCCCGCCCCGCGGCCCCGGGCGCCCCCGCAGTGCGGGAGCGGGGCGGGGCGTGTGCGTCAGCTGGGGCTAGAAAAGGCGGCGGCGGGGCCCAGCCCCGCGGGGTGACAGCCGCGGTCGGACGCACAGCCTGTCCGACGCCGCCATGAGCGCCGCGCTCTTCAGCCTGGACGGCCCGGCGCGTGGCGCGCCCTGGCCTGCCGAGTGCGGGCCTTTCTACGAGCCGGGCCGGGCGGGCAAGCCGGGCCGCGGGCCCGAGCCAGGGGCCCCGGGGGAGCCGGGAGCCTCCGCCCCCGCCATGTACGACGACGAGAGTGCCATCGACTTCAGCGCTTACATCGACTCCATGGCCGCCGTGCCTACCCTGGAGCTGTGCCACGACGAGCTCTTCGCTGACCTCTTCAACAGCAACCACAAGGCGGGCGTCGCGGGCGTCGCGGGCGCCCTGGAGCTGCTGCCCGGCGGCCCCGCGCGGCCCCTGAGCGCCGGCCCCGCCGTCCCGCGTCCGCTCAAGCGGGAGCCCGACTGGGGCGACAGCGACGCGCGGGGCTCGCTGCTGCCCGCGCAGGTAGCCGCGTGCGCGCAGACCGTGGTGAGCTTGGCCGCCGCCGCCGCGCAGCCCACGCCGCCCACGTCGCCCGAGCCGCCGCGGGGTAGCCCGGGACCGAGCCCCGCGCCCGGCGCCGCCCGGGAAAAAGGAGCGGGCAAGAGGGGCCCGGACCGCGGCAGCCCCGAGTACCGACAGCGGCGGGAGCGCAACAACATCGCCGTGCGCAAGAGCCGCGACAAGGCCAAGCGGCGCAACCAGGAGATGCAGCAGAAGCTGGTGGAGCTGTCGGCCGAGAATGAGAAGCTGCACCAGCGCGTGGAGCAGCTCACGCGGGACCTCGCCGGGCTCCGGCAGTTCTTCAAGCAGCTGCCCAGCTCGCCCTTCCTGCCGCCCCCCGGCGCCGCCGACTGCCGGTAACGCGCGGCCCGCCGGCAGAGACTCACCAACGACCGATACCTCAGACTCGACGGCCGGAGCCCCGCGCGCGCGCCCGCCCGCCCAGGGCCGAGGGCGCCCGGGGCCGAGGGCGCCCCGGCGCGGCTGCAGCCTCTTTGGGACCTGTGAGCGCAGGGAAGCCGGGGCCTGGACTTGCCGCCCGGGAACTGCCGCGGAAGCTCGACATGTTCGTTTCCCTTAAATTATTTTTATAATGGTAGCTTTTTCTACATCTTACTCCTGTCGATGCAGCTAAGGTACATCTGTCAAAGAAAAAGAGACTTTTCCCGACCCGCCCTTTGTATTGTAGATAAGAGGAAAGGACTGACCATGCTTTTTTATATCGATTTTTACAGTATTTGTAAGAATAAAGCAGCATTTTAAATCGCGCCGGCTTCTTCTGTTTGCGGTGACTCCCGCACCTGGGGCCCAGGTGCGCTGTCCACGCGGGAGGCCGGGAGCCTGGGGAACCGGCGCTTCACCGGCGTGTGTGCTGTGGGGCTTCCCGAGCCCCGGGACGGGCAGGCGCCTGGCGCAGCGGCCGCGCAAGGAAGCAGACGTGGGTGCGAGGCCGGCCCAGAACAGCCCCAGACTTCCCTAACTTTAGATGGCTGCTTGGGGGAGAGGGGGGGAGGAGGGGAAGACGGTCACGTGATTCACTGAAGCCTGTGGGATTCACCTTGGGCTGCCTGGGACTAGGCTTTCACTGTCCTTGGTTTTATAGGCAGAGCAGATTTTCAAAGTGCGCAGGACAAAATCTACTTAGGAGATGAAAAAGAGTCCCAAAGCGACCTAACTGGCTACGTTGCCCGTAGTTCTAAGCCCAAATAAAGATAGCCACCTGCCCTTCCCCTAAGAAGACTGGGTGTTAGGCACCCTTTCTTGGTGTTGGCAGTCAGGTGTACATTATGTAATTAATTATGCATGGTTTGTAAGTGCCTTGCTATAAGAAAAAAAAAATCTTCAGTGTCCAAGTATAGTCAATTCATGGCTTTACATGTAATTCAATGTTTGGATATCTGCCAATAGATGTAGCCATTGGGGACTGCTCTAACGATGGGTGATGTTGGTTTGGTGCAGCATGACTGGACAGGCTGGTGACCTGAGTGGCTGTATATTTATAGCACAGCCATCACCACATCGGTTCACTTATGGGTAAGTTACTCACCTCCGACATAGTTCCCCTAGAACATTTCCCAAAAATACTGAACTGCAAAGTGTTTGGTTTGGACACTTATTCTAGCAGAACATTGGTGAAAGACGAGGTTTAAGCTTTGCAGGGTGTTTTAGAGGATGTTAGAACAAATGCTTCAAGGAAAGGAATGCTGAATCATGGTTAAAAAAACACAACTGAACAAAATAGTTCTTTCTGATACGGAAACCTTAGGCTTATTTAAGCTTTAGAAATGTGTTTCCAAGGTATTTTTAAAAAAAGATAAAGGAAGTTTTGACTTATAGTTTACACAACAATTTCACAGAATGTTTTCCAGAAAAATCTGTTTTATTTTAAGACCATAAAGTATATTCACTCTGTCAATAGTTAACAAATTAACTACCCAAGCCCATCCCACCCCCATCCTGGTGGCAGGGTTTGCTGGGCTCACAGCTCCAAAGGTGACCTTCTGTCTGTAGGGGCTCCTGAACCCAGAAGTTCAACTTCCTCCAGTCTGATGCAGTGAGTTGGGTGGGTGGTTACGGACTGCACAAAACAACTTAACTCCACCTCCTTCCCAAGGATGTTCTTCACTTCATAACTCTGTGGTGATAGAGGCATGCTGGTTAAAGCAAATAGACGTAGCTAGGATGTTTTGTTCCTAACAACACAGACCACCACAGGTCAAGGCTGGAGAAGGTCTTTGCCACAGACCTAACCTTCCCTCAAGTGGTGAAACTTTTTAGGGAGAAACAATAAAAGCCCCTTTTATTATGGCAAACAAGGACAACAATGACCTCCTTTATTCTGGTGACAGAATCTGTTTTACATAAGGAACATTTAAAATATGGTTTTATTGATGTTTTTAGTAGATGGCAAGATAAGCCAGCCTAGGAAAGGTCTCAGCACAAGACGTGCTGAGACCTACTCATCCTCCAGCTGGACAGGCCAGGGATGGACAGACAGCACGCCCGCAGCGCTCTCCTACTTCCTTTGGGTATACTTCCCCAATCTAGCAGCATTTCTAGTCAAAGTATTTCTTGGCACTTTGCCTCAAAATAGGATCCCATTTCTACCCAAATTACAATGGGCTAAGCATATCTCCGTTGTAACAAAACTAAGCTTTTTCTTCACCTGGTTAATCTCAGACAAGTTTCATCTTCAGATGAAAACACAGGCAACAAGGCAGTGGGTCCCTGCTTGGCATCCACAGAGCTACTGCCTTCCATCATTAGCCTATCATAGCCAAGGAACCTGTGGCTAGAGAGGTCAGAAAAGTTGGGTAATGCAGGAAGACTTGCTGCCACTGCTCCACTCTTAGGATGGCTTCAGGGACTAGTTTCTCATGAGCCAGGTTGCTTCTCAGTAGATAGGCTATGCAGTGACAACCTAAGCTTGGTTAGGAAGACTTCCTAGCACACAGACACATACCATGCATGAGGCAGTCTGGCTATGTGACTCTAGGCCAGTAGAGGAGAGACGAGCCATCCTGATGGATCCAATTCCAAATTACTGGGCTGTGTGCAGTCAATGCTGAATCCAGTAGACTGTGAGATGGTTTATTCTGTAGTAATATCTGAGATATCAATACCACTCTGATGCCAAGTGGCTGATATATTCAGTTTTCAGCTTAGCTTAATAGGCTTTGTAGTGCTTTGGACTCCTTGGTGAAAGAGTAAAGTCAAGGGAGTTATTTAATGAGTGATGGGGAAGGAACTTGACAATGGAAATGAGAACCTTCCTAACAGGCTCATAAGCATAGGCAGCAACTTCCTGGCCTGCTCATTTGTTCACTCATCTGGGTTTACTATGAGCCTACATGGCCCAGTGGAGAACAAAAAAGGGCCTTAAGGCTGGAGGGCCAGGAGGTCAGGTGGCAGAGGTTGCTATTTGTGCTGGGAAAATGGAAGTTTGGATAGCTGGGTACATTGCTTCCAGAAAATGGTTCTTGTGGAAAGCCTTAATTCTCTGGATTTTGGTGAAGTCATTCTTGCCCAGAAAACTGATACAGTCCAGTTAGGGCAGCTTTCAACTGTGTCTACCAGATCTTTTGATAGCTATCATCTATCAGGCTTCCTTTAGGTCAAAGGTTAGCCCCTATGAGTAAAAAATGCTGGGGCAAGGTATGGAGCTTGCTAAAACGTGTCTCTACAGATCTGAGAAGATCCCTCATCCCATGGTGTGGGCTCCAGATCTAGAGCACCCACAAAGGTGATATCTGGGTTTGGGACCTCTCTGTACCCGCTTACCCAACACAGACATGCATATGCTGGTGCATGTACATGCACACACATATAGCCAATCTTGAGGCAGAATGTACACATGCACATCACACACATGAATGTACACATGCTTTCTTGAGGTCTTTACAAGTAATTTTATCTGTAGGAACATTCTAGTTAAGAAGTGTGTAAGGAATAAGTTGTTTCAGTCACAGGAAACCAAGGGAAGGAAGGGGGATTTATGTCAAAGCCTCTTCATTTCTATATCCCTAAGTGAGATAAGCAGAGGGAATCAAGCATGGACCACCAGGAAACCCAAAGGGTAGCCAGCCTGCAGTGTCCATGAGGTAGGAGGCAGCCACAGCTTTTGTTCCACAGGGATCAGGGTGGTCTATGCAACACACCTATGTAGTATGAGCTTTAGTTTGATTAGGTAGTGAGTCTGGGTTCATTTTGTCAAGCAGAAGAGTCCCAGTGCTTCTCCTACTTCAATACTCTCTATAAGGATATATTCCCAGGAAATCTTGATACACCATTTTTGGCACTTGTCTACTCCCTCCACCCCCTGCTGGAAAGCTCTAGCTTGTCAATCTTGGGTAGTCCTGAAGTGCCTGATTCCTTATCTCCTTAACTTTGGGGCTTGGGTAGGGATGGAGGATGGAGGGGAGGAAGAAAGGTAGATGAAGAGCGCAAGCTGGAGCCCAGGTTCATCCTGGAGCTTTGAAGATAGTGGTAGGCTTTATCCCAGGTGTGGGGAATAGAGACCTTTTGGATTCCTGCAGGCAGCGGCACTGTGAAAGCAGGGCTGAGAACCATGGCTCCTACCAGTGATCCTCAAAGATTCTCTTCATGGGTTTATCCACATTTTAATTTAATCCAAATTTTGGTAGCTCTGGTTTAGATGAAAGAGGGTATAATGCTGTTCTGTGTGAGGCTGTGGCCCTCTTGCATACAGGGAGGGACAAGGGCTGGCAGGGGCTGCGGGGTAGGGGTGGGAGTGTGAGGAGGGAGTATAGTGATGTATCAACTCCTTACACATTCTGGCTGGAACTGGAGCTGGAAGTTAGCCATGGGGACCATTAGAAAAAGTCCCCTGTTTGGCATGCCAAAGTCATTCTAAGACCATCAGTCTCCATAGTCTCCACATCTGGCCAACCTAAGTCAGCTCTGAATTGATCATTACCTGGGAGCTGTGCCATGGTGCCACTCTAGTGGTACTCTTTTCTGAGTTTGGCAATTCCATGAGATACCAGGGTGCTTTTAATGGCTTTGACAAGGCAAATATTCATTTAGGTTTTTTTTTTTTTTTTTGCAGTGGCTGGGTTGAACCCAGGGCCTCATACATGTTGGTTAAATGCTCTACCACTGACCTACATCTCCAGCCCCCAAAGATCCCATTTATGAGAACCAAATTTTACAATGCAAGAAACTGTCTTGGGCCATAAATGATCAATTTAATGGTTTTTACTTCCTTCATAGGAGCACTTTGTACCAAGTCCTAGCATAGTAACTCTTGAGGCAGTAACCAGTTCTTAGGAGCGAGGGCAGCATTTTCAGGTATCCACAGTCTGGAACTGCCCGCGACGAGAAACAAGCAATTCTGTTCTGACTGTGAAGCCATGGCACGGAACTGCAGTCTCCATACTTGAAGCGGGAGGGACCTGTTTAATGGTCAATCTGGAAATA